ATATATGTTCCATAAGTGTTGTAGAGTATTGTTTTTATATCACTACCCATGGCTGAGCACCACATAGAGTAGTAGTTTTAGAACCATGTTATGTTAAATACTCATCTTTAACATGAGACTATCACTTAGAATGGAGAGGGACACTGTCAGAAGTATATGGGAATGAAAAGCAATTGAAAGAACAAAGTATACCATATTATGTCTTTCTGAAATTTGTAGGTTGAGTAATATACAGATCTACACCATTTGAATCATTATTATTATATGTTTATATCTTTCTTTTTTCTCTCTCTCTCATGTACCACTCCAAATTTGAAGAGCTGACTATGAAATGTAAAAATGTGCAAATTTTGTGAAACTCCCATATATGAAAATGCTTTGAATATCACAATGTGTTATACAAATGTAATGTATGCCTACCTTTGACATAAATAAATTACACAAAATACAGGAAGGAAAGAGGAACACTGTAGATATAGAGAAATATTTTAACTTATCTTCTGGTTTCCTTGAAAATAAAAGAAAGGAAAAAGCTCTCTCTCTCATATTCCTTTATTACAGTGAATACTCAGATGAAATTTATGGCCTGTCTAGGTGCTGGGGTACGATATATTTAGAATAAGAAAAAGCAGAGGAAAGGTCACTTCACTTCATTATGATTTCTCAAGTTCATCTCACTTCTGTAAAAGCAAGAATGAAAAATTGTCATTCCCAGAAGCGCAAACCTAACCTGACTGAGAAACGTCATCCTACCTCCGTGTACTCTGCAATCCACATGGTCGATTTTGACATTTTCCTATCTATTCAATGGTACCTGAATACATTTTGTAAATATCTGGGCATGCATGTTTTAGGCACATAGATAACTAATCCAAAGCAAAATGGTAATGCTTATCACATTTCCTCCAAAGCCACAGCATAAGCTAAACAATTAACAGGATTCTAAAAGGAGATATATACTGACATGATATTGTTTGTAAAGATGATTTAAAAATGCATAGATTTAATTTAAAATTTAGTGCTTAAAATGTCAAAATATTATAGGTACTCATCATCAAATACAAAATATTCAATCTTTTAGGTACATCAAGAAAACATGCATCTGCTCATATTTTTAACTGATATGTTGATAATTTTTCATGTTTTACTATATACTACTTGCTTTTCATTCATGGAGGTAATTTGTATTTACCTAATTTGTAACTTTTGTATCCCTATCTTAAATTATGATAGAAGGTTAAGAAAGAAATATCATTGTTATTAAAGAATTTAAAAAAGAACTGTTACTATTGGTCATTTGCCTGAAAATAAGCAAAGCAAATAAAATACTATTTAAAAAGCCTGGGACAGTCAAATGTCATTAGAAATCAGTAGGCATATCTTTCTAGGCCTCAGGCTGGGATTGAAGATATTTTTAAAAGAAGAAGGGAATTCAAACAAGGAGCAAATTGCAAAATTCTGATCTAAGATAGAGGATAATGACATCTTCACAGAGTGATACAGATCCCATGTTTTTCCAATACCTATTTAAACATTAGTCCATTAAAATTTAATTTATGTTTATAGTCTTAATCATAAGTGAATGTACAATTCTTAAACCAGGGATTAACTTAATTTCATGTCATCAAAAATATGATTTGCTTAATAGTACTTTGACTGTTCCAAAAGTGTCTTTTCACAGCAGGAATGCATATTTTTCTCTTATCAGTCTTCTCTATTTTAGGTAAAAAAATAATAAAATTGTGCTTCTCTCTATGTAATTGAACATACATCTCTAATTTCCCCAATACTTAAATGTATATGAAGTAAAATTAAGTCTAATCGAACTGTCCCTGCCAGGTATGCTGAAAGAGACCATAGAATTAAAAAAATGACCATTTTATAGCAAGAGATAATATTCTGACTATTAAAACAAGTCATTCTCATGATGCTTATTTAAACAATGCAATAAATTAAGGTCAAATGGCTAATATTTCTAATAAAAATAATTATACATGAGGGAGCCCGGGGGAGCCATCTTTGAAGATGGCATCTGATGATTCTAACCTCCTGACACTTATGCCCCTGTGTTGCTCCTAAACACACACACACACACACACTCTCTCTCTCTCTCACACACACACACACACACACACACACACACACACACACTGATTAGGATCACCCTGTGTCATCAATCAAATATTGCAGAAATGACAGAGCATGACATCTGAGACTTGGTCATAAAAGATATGGCAGCTTCCAACTTGCTTTCTCTTGGATCACTAGTTCTGGGTCAACTGCCACACCATGTTGAGTCAATCCGTCCTCTAGTGATTGTGGAAGAAGTCCACATGGTGATTAACGGAGCCTTCGGTCCATTACCAGCACTGACATGCTGGCACATGAGTGAGCTATTGTGGAAGCAGATCCTCCAGCCCTCCTCGAGCCTTCAGAAGACCAGGCCCAGGAGACATCTTGACTGCAACCTGATGAGATATCCTGCACCACCAACATAAAGCTAAGCTGCCCCTGATTGCCTGACTCAAGAAACTGTTTCAGATAAGGAATGCTTACTATTTTAAGTTGCTAAATTTTGGGTTAACTTGTTACTTGGACTCCGCTTGAAGATTTGCAAGACTTCTTGGGTTCAAAGCCCAGCTCTGCCACTAACTGTATCAACTTGTACAAATTATTTAAAAATACTATTTTTGCTTTTCCTAAGCAAGATGAAGAAAATGATAGTGTCTCTCTTATCAGTTCATTATACAAATAAACTGGTTAATATTTATTAACAATTTAGAACACTGCTTGTCACATAGCAGGTGCTTGTTAGTTTTTCATTTCAATGAGGTAAAGAGTTGAAAGGCCTGGCTCTGGAGCCAGCATGCTAGACCCACTTAGTGAGTCTACCAACAACTACTCAGCAACCTGAATCCTTCTTTCTACTAATTCCTACAAATGTTCAAATATGCTTTACTATAATATTGAGAAGAATTTATATAGTCTAGTGGTGCTTGAGAACTTTAAGATATACTCAACCATAACCCTAACAAATGATAAATGTATACTTTTCTCTGAAATGAAAATATATTTGCCTTTTATAAGTGCATTTGATTTTCACAGCTCCTAGATTCTCTCTAGGCGTGTAAGTGTATTGCCGAGGGACATTGGGGAAAATCAATCTACCTTTTATAGAAGTGATTTTGAACTTCTTTGAAAATCTAATAAAAACTATAGTCCATCTCAGTTGGAAGAAAATCACTGAAGTTATGACTTGAGCATCAATTGGCATTTTGCTATATTTTTTATGGGCCAAAAAGTGAAGTAAGGATTGTTGTAGACTTTTTTTTTTTAATGATTGCTGTATTTAGGAAAGGAAGAGCAAGAGAGAGAGAGCACATGGGCAAAGAAGAAAAACCCAAAAACCGACCAAACAAAAAAAATCAGGACATTATCTCATAAAATTTTGGAAGCAAAATGGACTTTAACAAATGAGCTCTCACTTGCATCACTGGGAATAACCATGTGTTAGCTTTTAAGAAAGGAATGATACAAACTTAAAAGTTACTTGGAAAGATCATAAAATAGTTTCTCACTGTTTAAACTTTTTAACACATTTTCTTGTGGAGAACCAGGGACGGTCAAGGAGGGGGTGTGGAGCTGCAAGGATGTCCTATAGAAAGGGAGACTTCTAAACAGGCGGAAATGAGGTTCCACTCACCCACCCCATATCCACCATAACATTTTCACTACTGAAAGTGTTCGGTACTGAAAGTAACACTATGAAAGTGTTACTTGCATAGATATTACTTTTGAGGACTCCATGTAACATTACATTTGAATAAAGGATGTCATAACTTTCAAAGGATTGCAAACCACTTTTCTAGATGCTGTCCATAAAGATAATCACAAACTAAAAATATCTCAACCTGGATAAGCAGAATTTGAGAAAGTTTGTCTTAGCAGATACGTAATCTTCTATGGTGTGACAAGGCGACCCAAGAGAGTTGTACCATTTATCTTATTCCAAATACATAAAAATATCGGGGTTTCCATGAAGCCACAAATAGTTAGATTTAGAATTAGTAACAGCATTAATGAATTAGTAAAAAGAATGAAAAATCTGCATATCCTAAATTGTAGAAGAGGTTTCATACAAAATAGATGCAAAAAATTAAGGTAAAACCACAGTCATAGTTCAGCCTAACATTTTCTTAAATACATCCCTCCCTAGTTTTAAAGAAAATATATATAGTATAGATAATACCTTTCTGCATTCTGTCCCCCAGTTGTCCACAGGGATACCACTCTTACTTGATGGCTGATAAGACCAGCTAAAGAGGTTTGAATGAGCTTACTGGTTGAAAATAAAGGGAAAGTAGTTGAGTCCTGACTTCTCTTGTTCAACAACCCTTGCCAAAGCCTTCTGAGGTTTCTCAAGGGGGCAATCACAGAAAGCTGAAGTTAGAGTAGCCTTAAAATTATGGTGGATAGTCCTTTAACCATGTATTTTATTTCCTCTACAGCCCCTTTAGTGACAAAATATCTAAAACACAGTGAGCTATAAAACAACATGTTAGAAAGTCTTGAGGGAGAGTGAGACAGGTAAAAGGGCTGAAGCTTATCGAGGAAGCCAGGCAGAGACAGCAGCTCCAATTGTTTTTGGAGTGCTCTCAAGGAATCTGTGCCCAAGTCCTTCAAGAGCTGGTTTACTTCCCAATTAACCATGGTTGCCAGCAAGAGCAATGGTGTGCCGGTTCAGAAGGGAGGAGAAGAAATAAAACAATGAGTGATGAGGGATTTGCAGGCATTTCTGAGATCATATAAACCAAAGTGGACATTTCTTGTAGATGCTATTAGAAACTCTTACTTCCCATGTGGGCCCCTTCAGCTTGCTTGCCCGCGAGGAGGCTGTTGAGAATCATTCAAGCCAGTTAAAGAAATTGCTTAAGGTAAGTATCTGAAACAAACACTCGCTCCAAGTGCTTGGAACACAATAACCATCACAAAGTCCTTACTTCTTTTCTCCTTTGTACCATTCAAAGGCCGGAGGCGGCACACCTGCACCTTCACATCTTATCAGCCCACTGCGTCCGGTGGTCACGGTGCCGGATTTAATTTCCTGAATCGTAGGAGCAACTGAAAAAGAAAAAAAAAACAAATAAACTGTGGGTAAATTAAAATAATCTTCAGCAGAAATATAACACATGTATATTTCCATTCCTTTTATATTCAAAGTAATCTTATGCCTGGTGGGCCAATGCATCACATTTTCAGTGTTTCATCCTTCTAATAAAAGACTAGTCAGTCACTTTCAGCCTCATTTTTCAAGTTGGACAATAGATGAATGTTCCCAGGAAGTGTAGAGTAAATGCAATACATTTTGGCCTTGCTTCCTATTGGAAAATGGCATTGATGAGAGAAACACTTCATCTGTTCTCTAGTGAAATTACACTCCAATAATAGCTCTCATTTACAGAGTGATCACTGGGAGCCAGTCACTGGGCTAGGTGATTCTTGTTCATGATTTCCTCACAGTAATAGTCTAAACTACATGGCGCTATCCCAATTTTACAAATATTAAAAACTGAAACTCAGAGAGGTTAATTAATCTTCCTCAGGTCACACAGCTGCTTGGTTGTGGAATTTGGGTTTGAAATCAGGCAGGTTGACTCAAAGCCTGAGCTCTTTCAGTATTTTGTGGGTTTTTTTTTTCTGTGTACTCCCCATGTGTTAGCTCTTTAGAGATTTTTTTTTTAATGTGGTTTCTTCTACTTGGAATATTATTCTTCCTCATTCCACAGCTCAAGTGCTAACTTAGGTGTCACCATCTCCAACCTCTTCCCTGTTGCTCTGGCTGGAAAGAGTTATCCCTTCTCTGAGTAGTTTTTACAAATCTCTCATAACAAACTACTTATATCTTGTAATTATTTATGAGTAGCTCAGGCTTCCTTGTTAACTTCCTGAAGGCAGGTACATAGCTGATTCAATTTCTATATTCAGAGATCAGAGCTCAAAGCATGGCACAAACTGATGCTTGAAAAGTTTTTTATAGTATAGCCATTCCATTATTTATCAAATAATTATTGAGCCATCAATAACTGTCAGGTTTTTCTCATGGTCCAAAGCAGTTAAACTTTCTGATGTGATAAAGTTTATAGTCTAGACAGGGTGGCAGATGGGAAGGCAGTATAAGCAGTACATAGTCTAAATAAGTAATTTATTTTTTAAAAGATTTTATTTATTTATTTTTAGAGAGAGGGGAAGGGAGAGAGGAGAGGGAGAGAACATCAATGTATGGTTGCCTCTCATGTGGCCCTCACTGAGGACTTTACCTGAAACCCAGGCATGTGCCCTGACTGGGAATCAAACTGGTGACTCTTCGGTTCGCAGCCTGCACTCAATCCACTGAGCTACACCAGCCAAGGCTAAATAAGTAATTTACTCATGGTAAAAATACAGCAAGGTAAGAGAAAATAGAGCAAAGAATGGATTACAACCTTATGTAGGGTAATTTTATTAGGACTCATTGAGAAGGTAAGATTTAAGAAAAAGAGATATAAATGAGTGACTTCACAATGTGGGTGTCTAAAGTTTTCCAGGAAGAAGGAAACAGTTTGCAGTAAGGCCCTGAGACTGAAGCAAGCCTGATTTTTTTGAGAAATACCAAGGGGATCAGTGTGGCCAAAGCAAAGAGAAACAGAGTAGCAGGAGATGACATAGGGTGGGTAATTCTGTGTCAAGTGGACTGGGTCACAGAGTGTCCACTTATTTGTTAAACAAGATTTCTTGGTGTTCCCATAAAATATTAGCATTTGAATCAGTGCACTTAGTAATGCATATTGCCCTCTCCAATGTGGATTCACATCATGTGATTCTTTAGTCAACTGAAGAGAACAAAAGGCAGAGGAAGGGAGAAATCACCCTTTATCCACCTGACTGCTTAGCTAAGACCTCCTCCGGAAAGCTAGTACCCCATTGACTCCCCCAGTTCTCAGACTTTCAGACTGGGACTGAACCATACCACTGACTTTCCTGGGTCTCCAGTTTATACACATCAGATTGTGGGACTTCTCAGCCTGTATAATCACATGAGTCAATTCCTCATAACATAATCTCTTTACCTATATCTAGATATACATACATATGTGTATGTGTATATTTGACCTTTGGACAATACAGGTATGAACTGTATGGGTCCACTTACACATAGATTTTGTTCAATAAATATATTGGAAAATTTTTGGAGGTTTCCTTAGTACTGTGAAATAAACATATCTTACACTAGGCTACCATCAGGCAATCATACTCCTGCTTCTTTATTGTGAATGCATGAATCACTATACCTGTAAATATGAATTTCTTTTTCACATTATTTGTTCATTTTTGATGAAAGTAAGTAATATGTACACCATCTATAGTGTTTTCTATCATATAAGACAGTATTGATATCAGTCCTGACAGCAGATTCATCTTATAAACAAATGATATAAACTTATGATATCAATAGAGTATGGTAGTATAAATGTATTTGCTTTCTTAAGATTTTTTACATCCATACATTTTTTCTCTTTTTTAATTGAGTATATTGGGGTGACATTATTTAATAAAAATGTAGAGATTTCAGGTGTACAATTCTATAATCCATTATTCGTATACTGCATTGTATGCTCACCACCCAAAGTCAAGTTTCTTTCTGCCACCATTTATCCCACTTTTGTCCTCTTCGACCTCCCCCCACTCACCCCACTTTCCCTCTGGCAATCACAATACTGGTTTTTATTTTTGCTTACTCCCTTCACCTTTCTCACCCAGCCCCCCCAACTTGCATCCCCTCTGACAGCTGTCAGTCTGTTCTCTGTATCTACAAGTCTGTTTCTATTTCGTTTGTTAGTTTTTGTCTATTAGATTCCATTTTGTCCATTAGATTCCATATATGGGTAAAAACATATTGTGCTTGTCTTTCTCTGAATGGCTTATTTCACTTAGCATAATACAGTACAGGTCCATCCATACTGTCACCAAGGGTAAGATTTCCTTCTGTTTACAGCCAAGTAGTATTCCATTGTGTAAATGTATCACAGATTTTTTTATACACTCATCTACTGATGGGCACTTGGGCAAATCTGAGATCTTGGCTTTTGAAAATAATGCTGCAATGAGAAGTATATATATGAATCATATTTTCTTATATATGAGTCATATGTTCAGCTACCCTATGTCTTTTGATTGGAGAATTTATGGTATTTACATTTAAAGTGATTTTTTATAGGTGTGCATTCATTGCCATTTTATTTTTTTAACTATGCCTATTCTTCCTTCCTTCCTTCCTTCTTCCTTCCTTCCTTCCTTCCCTCCTTTCCCTCCTTTCCTTCCTTTCCTTCCTTTCCTTCCTTTATTTCTTTTCTTTCTTTTCTTCTTCTTACAAAAGGCCCTTTAACATTTCTTGCAATACTGGTTTGGTGGTAATGAACTCATTTACTTTTTGTTTTTGTTTTCATTTTCCTGGAAAGTTCTTTATTTTGCCTTCAATTTTAAAGGATATCCTTGCTGGTAGAGTAGTCTTGGTCATAGATCCTTGATTTTTATCACTTGGGATGTTTCATGCCAATCCCTTCTGGCCTGAAGTGTTTCTGTTGAGAAATCATCTGACAGCCTTGTAGGAACTCCCTTAAAGGTAACTGTCTCTTGCTGCTTTTAAGATTCTCTATTTTTCTTTCACCTTTGGCATTTTAATTATTATGTATCTTGGAGTGGGCCTCATGGTATTCATCTTGTTTGGGACTCTCTGTGCTTCCTGAACTTCTGTGTCTTTTTCCTTTGTCAGGTTAAGGAAGTTTTCAGCCATTATTTTTTCAAAGAGATTCTTGACCCCTTGCTCTCTCCTTCTTCCAGTACCCTTAGGATGCAAATATTTTTATGCTTGATGTTGTTCCAGAGATCCCTTAGATTTTCCTCATTTTAATTTTTTTCTTTTTGCTGTTCTGCTTGGGTGTTTTCTATTATTTTGTCCTTAAATTGCTGATTCACTCCTCTGCTTCTTATAACTTGATGTTTATTACTTATAGCATATTCTTCATTTCAGGTATTGTGTTCTTCCTTTATGACTGGTTCTTATGGTGTCTATATCCTTTTTCATTTTTACTATCTCTTTAAGTTCTCACTTGGATCATCCACTCTTCCCCTAAGGTCCTTGAATATCTTTATAACCATTGTTTTGAACTCTGCATCTGGTATCTTTGTTACTTCCATTGCATTTATTTATATTTCTTGGGATTTCTCTTATTTTTCTTTTCATTTGGGGCATGTTTTTTCATCTCCCTATTTGTCCACATTCTTGTGTTTATCACTGTGCATTTGGTAAATCTGCTATGACTCCTTGTTATGATGGCTTTACTATGTAGGTGTCTTAAGGGGGTCAGTGATGAAGTCTCCCAGATCACCTGAACTATGTACTCCAGGAATGTCTTTTGTGTGAGTTATGTCTACTCTCCTGTTGTAGAGTCTTGAATGCTGCTGGCCCATATCTGGGTGGGGTTAACCTTCAAGCTGGCTGACTATAAGGATAGACCTTCATCACACTGTATGAGTTGTAGTGTGGGGACCATTCTATGAGATAGAGCTGTTTCCAGCAGATTCTAGTGCCTGCCAAGATCTCTCTTCGGGTGTTCCATGTAGGTGGTTAGTTGAGGTCAGCTCTGTTGTGTTCTAAATCCCTCTACTAGTTGTTTTGTTTCTGGGTCCACTTGGGGGTGGGCTTCCAGTACAGGTTGATGTCAGACACTACCTGTGTCTAGACTTGGGCTACCTGTCTGGGCTACCACACAATTCAGTTTCTGGCTGTCTCTACTACTGCTACTGAGTATGCATGGAAAGGAACCAGTTGTGTACAAGGTTTAGTTTCTTCCACCTCTAAGCCTGGGACAAATCAGTAAAAATTCCAAGTATCCTGAGCTCCCTCTTCTTTTATTGGCCACAGAAGCACCCCTTGAGGTTGCCTGATCTTCCTCAAGAACCTTTTGTAGAAAGACTGTAGAGTGGACCCAGGCTGTCCACAACCCACAGACCTTTCCACAAGGTGCTGCTTAATAGGGCAGAGTGACCAGGGTTGGGAGGACAAGGCTATTGGGTTTCTTGCT